TCTTGAAAGTGACGAGTTTAAAGGCCGTCTAAAACAGTTTGGCATCAAGAGGATACGAACTACACCGTATCATCCTCAGACAAACGGGCTTACAGAGAGAAACAACCGGACGTTAGAGGAATGGTTAGCATCTAAAGGAGGAGATTGGGAGAAAGAGTTACCATTGATTTTGATGGCGCATCGTTCCTCTATACAAGGTAAAACCAAGAAATCACCCTTCTAGCGCCTGTATGGCAGACAACCGCGACTTTCATTGCACAATAAGACCTGGCCACAACAACATTGTTAGTTTCGTTGTAGCGATATGGTGTGTGTGCTAAATAATGAGGAAATGCAAGCACGATATGTTGTCATTCAACTTGTGAGTGTGTCTCTTAGAATACTCTTGGGACTCACTAACTGTACTGGCCAACTGATCAATGAGTAGCACGACCGAAGCATTATCTCCAGCTACCTGTGTATTCCATGGTAGTCTAGACGTGGAAGTTTTCGTGACATTAGCTAACGTGTGTCATTCTTTCTTGTTAGCACAGAACAACTTTGGCTTCTGTCGACAGCTATGTCTGAATCAAGCGTATGATTTAGCCTATTGACTAGTTTAGTTGATTGTTAGATTTTTATGGTTACGATGCTAGTGGGTAGTTTGCTCAGGAGATTCATTGATAAATCAATTGTGATGTGGTTTATTGGAATTGGATCTGCCAATTATTGCAGAGTGAATCGACCTGAAAATAAGTATAAGTATTTTCCACACTGGTTGATCACTGACTGCTAACCAATCTCATGTTTGTCTAATTCTTAGTGGTGATCGAATTCTATCGAACACCTGAGCCAGTAGTCAAATTACAAATTTATGGACAGAATTCGATTCGCACTAAGAAGTAGGCAAACCTGACACTATCATGCACAACTAGACATAGTTACAGTTCAGTGGTCAACCAGTATGAATTGAACCGGGTGAGTTTCCTAAATATCACATGTGTTCAGTTTACTACTTACAATAATGTCAGTAGTCAAACTCGATATCGGAATGATTTTGTGCCTGAGGTTGTGGAGTGTGTGTGGATGGGAAAGGTGGTTGTTTTGGTTGTTGTCCGTTTGTCCACAGTGGTCAGACGTTGGCGTTGATGTTGAGCATGCTGAATTGTACTTAGGGAAGCCGTTCGTTAACTTTTGACTAGGAGACGACCGTGTTCGGGAGTAATTGATCCATATTCAAGTTGTTGAGTGTGATTGGCTAATAGTGAAAATGCTAGTCGACAGGTGATTGGTCGGTTGTTTTCTCCCGAAGGTCACTGAAATTTCTAGTATGTTCTACGAGGATAGGATTTAAGAGGGCGTTCAGCTTGTTGTTGCATTGATTGTGTGATTCGACTGAGTGTATTTGTTCGTCTTGGCCTAACAGAGAATGCCTAACGCCATTGGAATCGATCTTGGCACAACATATTCGTGTGTTGGTGTTTTCCAGCATGGTAAAGTGGAAATAATCGCCAACGACCAGGGTAACAGAACGACACCGAGTTATGTGGCATTCACAGACAATGAGCGTTTGATTGGTGATGCAGCGTTGAACCAAGTGGCGATTAACCCAACAAATACAGTGTTTGATGCGAAGCGGCTAATCGGTCGTCGGTTCGATGATCCATCAGTGCAGAGTGATATGAAGCACTGGCCATTCGAGGTGACCCAAGTCGGTGGGAAGCCGAAGATTTGTGTTACGTATAAGGGTGAGAAAAAGACGTTCGCCGCTGAGGAGGTTTCGTCGATGGTGCTGGTGAAAATGAAGGAAGTAGCTGAAAGTTATTTGGGCAGGACGGTGAGTGATGCAGTTATAACAGTTCCTGCTTACTTCAATGACAGTCAGCGTCAAGCAACGAAAGATGCAGGTGCTATAGCTGGTCTTAATGTGCTGAGAATCATTAACGAACCAACAGCTGCCGCAATTGCCTATGGTTTAGACAAGAAGGTTGGTGGTGAGCGTAATGTGTTGATATTTGATTTGGGTGGAGGTACATTTGATGTGTCTCTGTTGACAATTGAGGATGGGATATTTGAGGTGAAGTCTACTGCTGGCGATACGCACTTGGGGGGTGAAGATTTTGACAATCGTATGGTGAATCACTTTATACAGGAGTTCAAGCGGAAACACAAGAAAGATATCAGTGAAAATAAGCGTGCAGTGCGTCGTCTGAGAACGGCGTGTGAACGTGCGAAGCGTACATTAAGTTCAAGCACCCAAACGAACGTGGAGATCGACTCATTGTACGATGGTATTGACTTTTACACAACGATTACTCGTGCACGATTTGAGGAATTGTGTTCCGATCTGTTCCAGGCTACATTGGAGCCTGTTTCGAAGTCTATAAAAGATGCTAAGCTCGATAAGGGTCAAGTTCATGAGATAGTGTTGGTTGGTGGTTCCACTCGCATCCCTAAGGTGCAGAAGATGTTGCAGGAATACTTCAACGGGAAGGAGTTGAACAAGTCTATTAATCCGGATGAAGCAGTGGCTTATGGTGCAGCAGTGCAGGCAGCTATTCTGAGTGGTGACAAGTCTGAGGCTGTGCAGGACTTGCTGTTACTTGACGTGGCTCCATTGTCACTGGGTCTTGAGACAGCTGGAGGTGTGATGACGGCTTTGATTAAGCGCAACACGACAATCCCGACGAAGCAGACTCAAACGTTCACGACGTACTCGGACAACCAGCCCGGTGTGCTTATCCAGGTGTTCGAGGGCGAACGCGCGCTGACAAAAGACAACAATTTGCTTGGCAAGTTCGAACTGTCAGGTATCCCACCCGCTCCTCGTGGTGTTCCACAGATCGAAGTGACGTTTGATATAGACGCAAACGGTATTCTGAACGTTTCTGCCGTCGACAAGAGCACTGGGAAGGAAGGCAAGATAACGATCACAAATGACAAGGGTCGTTTGACAAAGGAGGAGATTGAGCGGATGGTTTCTGATGCGGAGTTGTACAAGGTTGAGGATGAGAAACAGAAGAACCGCGTTTCTGCAAAGAACTCGCTTGAGAGTTATGTGTATGCAATGAAACAGCGAGTGGAGGGTGATGAGTTGAAAGGCAAGATATCTGAAAGTGATCGTAAGACGATATTGAACGCGTGTGGGGAAGCAATTAGTTGGCTGGACAACAATCAGTTGGCGGAGAAGGACGAGTTTGATTACCATCAGAAGGAGTTGGAGAAGGTTTGTGCGCCGATAATTACGAAGATGTATCAGGATGGTGGTATGCCAGGAGGCATGCCCGAAGCAGGTGGTGCGGGTGGTGGAAGTGGTAAGGGACCAACCATTGAGGAGGTCGACTAGCCTGTATTTGTTGCAACTGTTTAGTTACTATTTGAATAAATTTCGATATTATCTATAATGAATCGTGACTTTTGGTTTTTTCTGGTTGTCGGGTGTTTGACACAGGGTGAACGTTTAGTTGCTTGGGAGTAGTGAATATCGTGGCGTAGTGTCTCGTGGCTCAGCGTAGGGCAGTGAGTGGTGTCCGTTCGGTTTCATAGTTGGTGTTAGTGAAGACTTAGTGAGTGGGCTGTTGTGGATTTGGGTGTGGCGTTTGTGTTGTGGGCTGGACTGTGGCTCGTGGAGCACTTAGATGTAATTGTGTGTATGTTGGGATGAGGTTTGGCCAGTGCGACCTTAGGTGCGCGATTAGGCGATGCTGTGCAACTGTCCAGGTTAGTTTGCCCATGAGAAGTGAGTATTGTCTGACGAGTGGTTTGCGTCGACACGTAGCCCAATCACAAGTTGGACAAGACCTAATGCATATCATATCTCCCTCTAATTCTCGGCGTAATGTGTTCCTTGACCTTCTACTTTTCTTCTCGCCTTGAGGGTTCCATGTGAGGGCTTGTCTCGTGACGCAGTTAGGTGCTTAACGTAGTGAGTGTCCTATCCGCTTCTTCCTGATTTCCTCCTCCGGGTCTCTGCTGCACAATAGACTCGAACATTGGTTAGCAAACGGATATCTCTTCCTCGCCATATGTAACGCACGTTGGCAAAAGTCAGTCGAGCCTTCTGTATCCGTGCCGATATTTCGTCAGTCACCAGGCTATCAGCATTGATGAGACTCCTAAGATAAGTGAAGCGGTCGACACACTCAACTGCTTCACTCCCTATCACTAGTTCAGGTACCGATGAAACCCGATTTCGAAGAAACATAAAAAGCGTAAACGATCACTGGATGCATTTAAATGACGTCATGAAAATGGTGAGTAAATTTAGTCGAGGCCTCATGAAGCGTTGTAAGAACTGAATCTCTACAGGTTCTTTATAAATAGTTAGAGCACGCCGTCCTTCTACGGGTGACGATGAGCGTGACAATAAACATAGATATTCGCGAGATTGGAATTGTGCGAAGTTTGCTTAAGGAACTAGAAGCCTGGAGGTTGGAATATGCTGAGGACATACAACATCGCCATCATCAACAACAGCGACGTAGAACTTTGCACGTAAGTACATCAGTTCAAGTTGCCATACCACATTAGCACAGAGATATAATTGTCAATTCAAATCCAATAGTAGTAGAGGTAGTAAAGGTATTAGCAGTAGTCGGAGAGGTTAGGGTTCGGAGATGTTATTCAAGAAGTATGATTGAGTGAGATAAATTTAGAAAGAGAAAGGTGGACAGGAATTCAGAAGGTTAGAACTTGCGAGAACACAAATAGTGTATGCACCATTCTTGTTTAATTTTGTCATAGACATGCTACTAGATATAACATTATCTTTGTCTGAATTTACAGGAGTGGACCTTCTACCAGGAAAATCGCTCGCTGACTTGGAATATGCCGATGGTATAGTTCTATTCGGTGAAGACGCTGACCACCATAAGTAACAATGCATGTTCGGGATGCGCTTCACTTATCTGGGGAGTCCCATCAGCGCTGATGACCTGGTGACTGACGGAATCTCAGCACGGATACAGAAGGCTCGATTGACTTTTGCCAACGTGCGTTACATATGGCGAAAGAGAGATATCCGTTTGCTAACTAAAGGACGAGTGTACTGTTCAGCAGTTCCCTCTGTCCTACTAAACGGATCCGAAACGTGGCCGTTAGGAGTAGAAGACTTTCGTAAGTTACTAGTCTTCGATCGTCGGTGTTTCCGAAGCATTGCTCGTATATCCTGGGATAACCGTATAAGCAATGCTGTCGTTAGGAAACGAGTATAGGTAAGGATGGCAGGTCAGTAGATGAAGTATTGAAACTTCATGATTTGAGATGGTTGGGATGTGTCACGTACGCCTAACCACCGACTGCCTCATCGATCCATGTTTTGCGATATAGGAAAAGGTTGGAAGAAAGCTAAGGGCGGCCGAACCAAAATATGGCAGAAATCCATGAAGTCACTGACAAGTGGACTGAGTCATGTTGGTAGATGTAGGCTATCTGGTTGGAATCCGCGAGACGAAAGTCACCAATGGTTAGAGACCTTGAACGACATGGCTCAGAATCGTTCGCAATGGCGCAGGTGCATCCACTCTTTGTGTTCTCTCTAATTTTGACCTTATGAACTCCTCATTATCTCTACCTTTCTCCTTCTAAATTTATCTCACTGAATTATACTTCTCGAATCATATCTTTGCTCCCTAATCTTCTCCATTACTGCTAATAATTCTACTATCGCTATCACTCTTGGATATGGACTGACAGTTGCATCTCTGTGCTGATGTGGAATGGCAACCTGAACTGATGTAATCACGTACGACGTTCAGCGTTGTATCCATCTATCTGTCTGTTTATGCACCTGCGCCATTGCAAACGGTTTCGAGCCATGTCACTCCGGGTCTCTGCCCATAAATTATTATCGTCTCGCGGGCCTCAGAATGGTTATCGAAACCTAGCGACATGAGTCAGTCCACTTGTCAGTGACTTCATGGATTTCTGCCACGTTTTGGTCTGGCCGCCCCTAGCTTTCTTCCAACCTACTCCTACACCACAAAACATAGCTCGTCGAAGCAGTCGGTGGTTAAGCATTCGAAACACATGTCCCAACCACCTTATTATGACGAAGTGCATACTGGCCGGGCATGAGAGACAATGTGGCTCAATACGTGTTAACTGGCCAGCAGTGTCAACTAATGAAAAGCGATAGACACACACAACTGCCATTACAGTCGATCCCAGTAACCGCAGTCGGTGATCTATGGTCGGTAGATATAATGGGACCGTTTCCACAGACGGCGACCGGTACCTGCTAGTGATGACGGAGCATGCTACACGTTGGATAGATGCCGTACCCATTGCAGACCAGCGGGCAAGAACAGTGACCGAAGTGGTGATCCGGCATATTGTAGCGTGCCACGGAATACCGAAAGTGACATTAACTGACCAGGGTCCCTCTCTTGAAAGTGATGAGTTTAAAGGCCGTCTAAAACAGTTTGGCATCAAGAGGATACGAACTGCACCGTATCATCCTCAGACAAACGGGCTTACAGAGAGAAACAACCGGACGTTAGAGGAATGGTTAGCATCTAAAGGAGGAGATTGGGAGAAAGAGTTACCATTGATTTTGCTGGCGCATCGTTCCTCTATACAAGGTAAAACCAAGAAATCACCCTTCTAGCGCATGTATGGCAGACAACCGCGACTTCCATTGCACAATAAGACCTGGCCACAACAACATTGTTAGTTTCGTTGTAGCGATATGGTGTGTGTGCTAAATAATGGGGAAATGCAAGCACGATATGTTGTCATTCAACTTGTGAGTGTGTCTCTTACAATACTCTTGGGACTCACTGACTGTACTGGCCAACTGATCAATGAGTAGCACGACCGAAGCATTATCTCCAGCTACCTGTGTATTCCATGGTAGCCTAGACGTGGCAAACGGTTTCGAGCCATGTCACTCCGGGTCTCTGCCCATCAATTATTATCGTCTCGCGGACCTCAGAATGGTTGTCGAAACCTACCGACATGAGTCAGTCCACTTGTCAGTGACTTCATGGATTTCTGCCACGTTTTGGTCTGGCCGCCCCTAGCTTTCTTCCAACCTACTCCTACACCACAAAACATAGCTCGTCGAGGCAGTCGGTGGTTAAGCATTCGAAACACATGTCCCAACCACCTCAACTGATGAAGTTTCAATACTTCATCTATTGGTTTGCCATCCTTACCTAGCACCCGCTTCCTAACGACAGCATTGCTTACTCGGTTGTCCCACGGTATGCGAGCAATGCTTCTTAAACATCTATGATCGAAGAATAGTAACCTACGAACATCTTCTACTGTTAACGGCCATATTTCGCATCCGTACAGTAGGACGGAGCGAACTGCTGCACAGTACACTCGTCCTTTAGTCAGCAAACGGATATGTCGCCTACGCCATAAGTGACGCAGGTTGGAAAAGCCAATCGAGCCTTCTGTATCCGTGCTGAGATTCCGTCAGTGACCAGGCTATCAGCGCTGATGAGGCTCCCTAGATAAGTGAAGTGATCAACACGCTCGACTACTTTACTCCCTATCGCTAGTTCAGGTGCCGATGCAACCCAATCTTGAAGCAACATTTTGCATTTCGAGGGTGAGAACCGCATCCCGAACATGCTTGCATTGTTGCTTAGGGTGGTCAGAAGACTCTGCATTTTGTCAGCGTCTTCACCAAGTAGGACAATGTCATCGGCATATTCTAAGTCAATAAGCGAGCCATCTGGTAAAAGGTTTACTCCTGAAAATTCAGACGAGGATAAGATTATTTCTAAGAGCATGTCTATGATAAAATTAACAAGAATGGAGAGAGTGGACAGCCATGACGGACACCACTTGAAGTGAAGAATTCCGGTGACAGTTCGCCATAAGCTCTCACTCGACCAGTGGTGTTCGAGTAGAGAGCTTGTATGAGGTTAATGTACTTCTTTGGTACACCTCTCAATGACAGACACTGACACAGAACCTCAAGATCCACTGACGGACAAGGAGGTAATAATGTTACTTTGGCAAAAGGAACGACTTAGATTGAACACATATGGAGTCCTGACCTGACAGGACGATGACAAGAATTGGCTGGCTGTAATCCCGAAAGACTGGCGGCGTAAGATGATACACTAGTGTCACCAGGTAGCACATACAGGCATCGCAATAAAGACGGACTTATTATGACAAAGTGCATACTGGCCGGGCATGAGAGACAATGTGGTTCAATACGTGTTAACTGGCCAGCAGTGTCAACTAATGAAAAGCGATAGACACACACAACTGCCATTACAGTCGATCCCAGTAACCGCAGTCGGTGATCTATGGTCGGTAGATATAATGGGACCGTTTCCACAGACGGCGACCGGTACCTGCTAGTGATGACGGAGCATGCTA